CTCTGGGTGGAGCAGCGAGTCCCCCGCTGCTTCGTTTGGGGAGAGCTGGGTGCGAGAGGTGGGGATCAAAAGGGAGATGGTGACCCTGAGGACATCATCCTGGTGACAGGTGCTCCCTTCCCCAAGTTCCCAAGAGCACAGAGCTGGCGCACGGGCTTGCCAGGGCTCCTGCTCGGGTTGGCGTGAGCACATGAGACATGGAGCAGCCTCTAGGAGCAGATGAACCAAGTCCCCATGAGGTGGGACACGAAGCTTCCCTTCTAGCCCCGAGAGCTGAGGTTGACTGTCGCGATCGGAGAAATGATCCGAATTTTCTTCCTGCTTTACACGTGCTCCTGCGCACCCTGAGCCTAGAGACGAGCTTGTGGGCCCCAGCGTAGTTAAGGAAACTTTTAGTTGTTTGAAGGCAGGAAGATTCGTTACCCTGCTACAGGCAGTGAGCAGAGTGGGAATTTTTTTATATAGAAGTTTAACGACGTAGGTGACTGGTATCTATTTGAGGTGGATGAGAGGGTTACAGCATCCATAGCTGCAAATTTGCTTGCTGTCATAATAACGTTTGGTGTGACGATGTATAATCGCCCTGTGCATGTGAACGGATCAGCAACTGCCAGAACAGCAAAATATCAGTTCATCAAATTTAGAGAGGAGAACACATATTAGATCATCCAGACCATCGATCGATTTCCTGAGAGCAACATTTCTTTTGTTCATTGTTAGACCTTTTATTAACACTCTGCTGGAGCTTGGTGTTTGTCTGAACCCCATGTGCTAATGATCACATTGTGTCCAAGAGCCGTGGTAGATTATGGAGATGCTGGCAAGTGGGAAAGGACTTGGACCTGTTGCTGTGTGCGTGTCTGGTTTTTGTACGTTGCTAGATTGTTTGCAAGTTGCATAGTTTGCAGATGCTGTGAGCTCAGGCAGAATAGGTATGTAAGAAGTAACCAGAAAGGCTTTTAACTTCTAAATATTTTTTTTTTTCATGTTTGATAGGACAATTCATTCTTCCAGACATTCCCAAAGCTTTAGATGTTATATGTAAATCTTTTAGTAATTTACTGTCTGTTAGCCAAAGCTGGGCGAAAATGTAAAGAAGAAAAAACCTCTTCATTTTTTTTCCTGTTTTTTAAGATGTATGAGTTTATATAAATGTACGTAAGCCTACTGATATTTAAAGTTACTTTGAGTTCCAAAATGTCCTCCTCGCTGTCTGTATTTGTTATTAGGGATTTACAATGAAAATTTCATTGATCTTCCATCATTATTACTCAAATTGGAAACCTTTAAATATGCTGTTACTTTAATAAGAACCTTTTGTATAGCTCACTATCCATACTGCAAGTTTTTCTTCTGAAGCCAGACAAAATGGGTGTGTTCCCATACCCAACTCTTTCTCTCAGCTCAGCAAGGTGTTCTCATACCAGTGTGTTGTCTCTGTATCTGGTTGTATTTTTAAAGGATTTTATTCAGAAGAAGTGGAGACAGAGCAAGCCCTTGTAGAAGTCAGATAATCAAAATCAATGCATGCCCTTGAATTGTCCTGATGCAGTACTCAAAAATGGATTGTTATTTTGATACCAACATAACAAACTTCTGTTTCTCTCGAGTGTTTGGCATGCTTTGGATTTTACAGGAACAGCAGCTTCAAATCTTAATAATACCAGAAGAAGAAAAAAGTGCTTTGATAGCCAACCTGAAAACATGTGAGCTGTCTTTATCTTTGAATACTTATTTAGATTCTGGTGAAAATTATATCATAAGGTTTATAACTTCTGATTGGTTTCATATTTAAAATGTTTGGTTTCTAATGAGAAGGGCCTTTTCCAGTGGCCAGTCTGCTGTAGATGAGAAATGAAATATCTTTTGCTCACATCCAGGAAGAAATATTATAGAATGTGTAGAAGTAGCTGGCTTAGATATTGTTCTTGTGATTAAAGCTTTTTTTTTTTCCCCTCCCTCATTATTTATTGGTGAGAGTATGCTCAGCATGGATTTTAAACTACTCTTTAAAGAGCACCTATGCCATGCTTATTTATTGTAGAGTGTCACATAGAAATGATATGTATGTACAGATTCAAGTCAAGTGACTACTGTTCATTGCAGCCGCAACGGCAATTAGATTTATTCATATTTTCCATATATCATCCAGTCGCCTTATATGTCCATCTTTGCCTCCTGTGCTGCCCTTATCCTCACTAAAGCTTGCAGCAGTGTTAAATAGAAATATGTATTTGGACTTACCATTCAGTTGAACCAGGCAAGCTGTAGATCAGATGTTGTTTGTAAAATGTTGACTGGTCCTGGGTGCTAAAGGGCTGAACTCAGTAGGTCTCTTACTTCCTTAATTTTAGCCGTGTGCTGTGACAATACTTATGCAAAAAACCTCAGCGATTTGAGAAAGCCCTGTGGTTTTTTGGATGTAAAAATGCCCATGGCTCATCCTGCTGCTTTGAAACGAGGCAGATATTTTTCACTAATATGATGGGTTTAGGATAGTTTCCTGCATCAGTGTCGTGAGCTCCAAAGAAGAAAACATCTTGTAAAATGAACATATAATATCAATATGTCATGTGCATTTTTATGTGTATCAGTTTTTAGCCAGCTAAGTGCAGAGTGTCAGTTCCTCCCCTGCTGAGCCACTGAATGAGCTATGGGATCGGTAAATAGTACCAGATGGACAGGGCTGGAGCCTGGAATCGTCTCTTATTCCCTGAGTAGGTTCAGCTTGGACAACCCAAGTAAATTCTTTCCCCCCTATTGCCCTTCTAAAATTTCCACTGCTGCCTGGAAAGGAACATCTGACGGGTGAGAAAAATCACTTCTGTTCAGTTAACTTAGTTCTAGCAGGACATCACCAGGATTTGGAGGGGCATGAGATTGATGTGATTGAGAAAAATCTTCCCAAGAAAGCCCTGTGTGAAGCAAACACAGCCGCCACAATACAGATCACCTTCTGCGAAATGGAAGTTTGTTGGCTTGCAATATCTCCTGAACTTTGCCAAAGTGGTTTATGTCCTTTATGGAGAGCTTGGAAACCGGACTTAAGACCAGTTGTCCTCCTCTGCATTATGTTTAAGCGTCAGTGAGTGGAGGGCTAGAGGAATGGCTGTCTGCCATCCAGTCTATATGATGGCTGCTCCTGTTGGAACGAATTCCTGTGGAGCTGTTGCACAGCTGGCTGAGTTATGTAGCCCCTTATGGTAATCATTAACTCGGACTTTTGGATCCCAAGTACTCTTCAAATCCAGTGGGTAGAATCTAGGTGGCTTTTCAAACCCAGACTGCAGAACTTGAGGGTGAGGGACTGAAGTTCCTGTGTTTTTAGACAGGTGTGAATATCCCCAGTCTTTCAGAGATCCGCACACTCTCTAGTCCAGTGTACAGATTCCCTGTATAGATTCTTCTGGGACTGCAGCAGGACCTGTGCATTGTGAAGCTTTTTTTAACTTATGCATGCACAGGTTAGTCTCTGTTTAATCAGGGAGGCAACAACACGTGAATCGCTTCATGTGTTGTGTCAGAGCTCGTACCACCTTTGGGGTTGATCCCACAGAAATCCAGTCTTGTCTTTTGCTCCTTTTCCTGGCTCCTTTGGTCCTGTCAACACCCTGTCCATTCTTGCTTGAGAACCTTTTCCTTTTAAAAGTAGGACCTGGCACTTTTCTTCCCTTCTCATCTTGGGATTTTCCATTGTGTCAGCTCTTGAACAGGATTGTTGCTTCAAAGCCGCTAAAGGTCAGCGGTTCTGCTTGCTGACTGTGACCATCCACTGCAGCCTGGATGAGGCTGTTGGGTGGTTGATAGTGCTTTTTCAGATATGCAGGTATGATTTGTGTTTGCCACATAAAGGGAGTTTTAGGTACACTGAAGATTGTAGGCAACGTTTGTCATGTCGAAGAAAACAGCAGTGTAATCATTTAACAACAGCTGCAAATGCAAATGAAGAAATAGATTAACTTGCGTTGTATAGAGAGACATACCCACATGTATATGAAGATACAGGCAGCTTCCTTCATAAAGCTTTCTTTTTTACTTTTACTAAAAAAAACCTCCAAAACTATTAAAGTTTGAGATGACAGCACTTTATATTCTCAGTTCTTAAACCTTACTTCTGCCTAGCATATCATACGGGTTTTAACCAACCTGGAGAGTCTCCTGCTGTATCTTCATTTTTAAGCTATCGCTCATACTGTGATACTTGAACACTTGCTGCATATCAATGATGTATTTTGAATTTTTTAAAACTAGATTGTGAGTGTCTTGATTTTCCACTTTGTATTGCAAAGTGTTTGTTAGGATGCATCCTAAAATATGCTGTCATGAATTCCTGTTCAGTGTTGTACATGTGTACGAGATTTTGCTCTGTAAATGACAGTTCAGTGTCCTTGCATAGTGCAGAGTGATGTGAACAAAACAGAATCGGGTCTTTGTTGAGATTTAATTTCTGTCTTCCCAGCCCCAAGAACAGAGTGTAATCTATAGTATTTCATTTAGTATCAGTCTGCTGGCTGAGGACTGGTCTGGGTTAGTAGATTCTATCCACAGCAAGGAAACCGTTAAGAACCACGCTGAACAGCTAATACTGGTACTTTTAGTTCTGAGTCTGTACTGAACAAGCTCCTCTCAATTACCAGGGGAGGACTTATTTTCCAGAAGATGGCAATTTACCCTTCATGTGAGAGGTAACACCAGTGATTAAAGCACTTGCTTTCTGTGATGTTCTTTTCAAGAGCTTAAGAGTCAATCGTCTTGGTCTAAATCAAATCTTAATGCTCTATTGCATAAGTCTTCATTGCTTTTTCTGTTGTGTGCAGTTATTCAGTATTTAATCTTCCATTTATTATTTCAGAGTATGTTCAAATTTAGATAGTTCTGGACTTTGGCATTTTTCTGCTCATCAGTCCCTTTCTCCATTTCCAAAACTGGTTAAAGAAAGGCGGGCAGGCCTCACCTACTATTGCATCAGTGCTGTTGCTCTCAAGTCATTTGTGGGCGTCATGAAAGACAAAATCGAAAACACCTCCCCCACCCCTCCAAGGTACAAAGTTATATTTAATTATTGAGATGAAAATGAGCAATTGCTTGTGTCTCTTCTGGGTAGTAGTTAGGACAAAACTGGGTGGACTACTAAGCAGATGTCCAAATATTGTAGAAAACTTGACGCGAAGGAACAGCTGGAGGTTTGTCCTTCACCTTCTAGGTACTATGAATAGCTCCAGATGCTAGAATCTAAAAACTGATTTGGACTTACATGTCTGTGGAACTGAAAAAGCTGATAAAGAGAAATAGGCCAGGTTCTCATGCTAAGCAATCACCAAAATTCCTGATCTCGAGTATGATTTAAACATGTACATCTATGCTCTTAAAATGACAGAATGAGTCACATTGAAGTCACGTTTATAAAGGAGCGTGTTTTTCTTGCTATGTGTACTTGATAGCTTTTGTACAGGGCACCTGAATGGGTTTACTGAAACATATAACTAGCTTAGAAAGGCATAAAATGAAATCTTAGCGTAAAACTCTGCTTCAGTAACAGTCTATTTCAGATTGTATATGAGGAGGTCATAGAGCTGATTTGTTCTGGTTTTTGTAGTGGTGGAACGTATTGATTTGTTGTTCTCTCTGTTGGTTGTTTTTTTAAATAAAAGTTTTAAGTTATTAGGCTTTCAAGTGTACAGATTTTTATGTTGGTTCAGAACTAAAAATCAGTATTTCTGTTTAGAGGATAATCGACGCCCTAGAAGAAGAAAAGCGGTTCCTGACCATGTCAATCACAGATTACCTGAAGGACTATCAGGACCTACTGCAGGTGAAAGCAGGCCTCATCCTTGAAATTGAAACCTACAGGTAAGAATTGTGGTCACACTCAATTGTCTAATCGGAGGATAATTTAAATCCCTTTTTATAGATACAGGAGCCCCATTCATCCTCTTTCCAGTATTTAAAATAGAGACAGCTACTTTTAGAGACTCAGATCAAGACCCTTGTTATGTATTGTGGTAGAGTGAATTAACCCCCAATACCAGTTTTTAGCTTGCTGTTGGCTTGTTCTGTGACATGGGTCACCGTGCTATTCTGTGGTTGACTGTGCTGTCTGGAAAAGGAAGATAACACCCGTTCAGAAGGCTGGTAATATATGTTGAGTTGTCTGTTATCTCTGGGAAAACGGTGAGAATAGTAAAATACTGTTGTTCATTAGTAACACTGGTAAGAATTACCAATGGGCAGAGGTGACTGGAATTTGATCACTTGAGCAAAACTACCTCTGGTGGTAATTCATTCTATTCCTCTGTCCTCAGAACAACATGTTAGAGAAGCCAATATAATCCGTAGAAACCCTATTAACTTTGTACAGATATAGTGATATGTAAGAAACCCTCTTAGTCCTGGCCAAGTTGATATCAAATTGATGTGAATTTTTGATGCAATATTTGATTACAAGCTGAGGAGCCAGCATCCCTAAATTGCAATCAATAAAACATGAGGTAGTGTGGTTGCCATCTGTCAACTTACATGGCACATTTCATTGTTTAAATATGTTGGATAACATCCACCTGCAGCATCAATATGAGTAGTTAGTTCCTTATTCTTGTTTCCATTGTAGGATAGTGAGAAAAGTCTGTTTGATTAAGTCCTGGATTTCTCCATCCTTGGCTTGTTATGGAAACATGTTTGGATCAAGTATGAGATATTAGCAGACAGCTCTGCTAATGAACCTTCAGTACTGTGTATCTCTCTAGCCACTTAGGAGCTGTGGGGTTGAAAAGCCAGAGTAATTCTCCTGTCTGGAGAATCAGTTGGCACGTGGCATAAAAACAATTTGTGAGGAGGAAAAAAAACCAACAACAACACACCAAACCAACCAGCCAAAAAAAAAACCCAACAAAAGAAACCAAAACCTATGAACTGGAGGAAGATACCACCTTATTTTAAAGATCGTGTTTTTTTCAATAAATTTCATTGAGATACTGATCTTCAGATACAGAGAAGTGCAATTCTTATTGAGCAGAGTAATCATTTGCAAAAATTTAATGCCAGCCTACTGTCATATTCTTTTTAAGGAGTATGCCAGTCATTAGCTTGTCTATATTGTGTGCGTTAATCATATTCAACCTGCGTAAACAGGCAGTGGTATTACCGGTTATATATGAGATATGCTTCTGTGTCCTCAAGCGTTAATGCTGTGTTCTAAGCATGTAACATTGCTATGAACCAATAAGCATCTAAGTCTGGATAAAGATGGCACCAGCTGAATTATGAGTGAAATGTGTAGACTAAAGCAATCCACTGATAAATACAAAATTTAACTGCAGTTGCATAACTGAAGATATGAGAATCCTGAAGGAGTGAATTCTGAGTAGCTTGATAACAGACTAGTGAGCAAAGCATGTCTGTAGTTGATCAAAGAGCGAAAATGGTCAGTTCAAGATGCCTCAAGTATTGTGTGCTATGAGGTACAGACCAAGGCTGGCTTCTGGACAAGATGAAATCACAAGCACTATGTGGGACAAGTTATTTGCAGTCAATTGGTGAGCAGCAGTAACCTGGATGTTTGTTGGTGGAGTGGGATTCCTGTGGTCCTTGGAAAGGCAGTAGTATCTGGAGCATTAGTAGTAGAAGAGAAACCATGGAAATGGTAGCCCGTTGTGATCCTTATCTGTGTGTGTTAATTCTGATAACTTTGCTAAAACATCTGATTCTTCTAAATTTAATCCTAGTTCTGATGTTGACTTTCACTGTTGTCACTTAAACTTTCTCCCTCAGTTTATTCATCTGCAAAGTGGGATTAGCAGTTCCACAATAACAGAATTATCAGAATTGTTTCGGTGATCAGTATTCATCCAGAAGTAGGAATGATAATGCCCAGATATTCAGTTGTTTGGACACAACCTTAGTTAGGAAGTGAACCGTCAGTGCTTCTGCTCTGTAAAACCTTATAAGCCCGTTAAATTCTGGAACTTCTCCAGAGATCATATCACTGATTATCTGAGCATTATTGGTTTGTCTAAGGATTGCCCGCCCTCATTAATGAAAGGAGAACAATTCAGCATCACGTGCAGCGTGTGTTTGTTGTCCAGTTAAGAAACTCCTCAACCTGTAGGGTTTCTTCATCTGATTGCAGTGAATGCAACTTGTACCACTGGTTATGTTGGCAAAGCGGACTTCAGTGGACAAATGAGCATCTACCTACTGAAAAAGACCTACAGATGAAAACAGAGAAATGGGCCTTACTGCAGAGCAGAAAACATGCTCTCTAATGCCTGCAAACAATTTTTTTTTTTAAATATCAGAAGCTGAAAAGAGATTGTTTTGATTTGTGTTTTTACATTTATGCAGTTTTACCTATTCCTCCTCTTGTTCTCCCTTCACTTAGGAAAAGAATGCCTTCCCTACTGTATACCTTTATCAACACTGCTGTGGGAGGGAATCAGTATGGTTCCAGTTATCAAGCTGCGTAGTAAGAAAGTTCTGAACTGCTCATCTATGTACTTTTTCAAATCCTGTTCCTTTCCCAGTTTTTTTATCTGCGATAACCAGGGCACGTGAAGCCAGCTCCCGTTTGTTTTCACAAAGGATGCTGGCATATACCCCTGCTTCTGCATAGTGGAAATGGAAAGCACCGATTCACACTTAGCTCAACATCCTGAACTTCCCATCGACAAGTTTCCATGAGGGCTTTGGCGCCTCCTCTCCTCCTGGCATTATAGGTTAAGGGTGTGGTATGTGGTCTACTTCTTTGAGCTTTCTTTGTACCTCCCACCCTGTATTTTCTCTTTGTTTTACAACTTCTACGGGTCCTGTTTTAAAGTCAGTTCTTTCCGTTAGTCAACATTGCTCCTGGACTGGCAAGAAGGATCATTGTTGCAAGGAACACCCTTCCCCCAGGACCAAGTGTGCTTCCTCTCTGATTCTGCTCACCCTTCCTGCTCTGGGAGCTGAGGCTCACTCAGGAAGTGAAATATATGTCTTCTGTGGTTTTATGAAGTTCTATCTCATGGGAATCTTCATTCCCAATCCTTTTTCACCACTGTTGAAGTAAACATTTATCAAATGTCTTGTGGTTTTGTTCTGCGTTCTTGAAACCCTGCAAACCCATAACTACTTAGACTGTGCTCAAGTTTTATTTCCAGAGAGAAGTGGTGAATTATTCACTATGGGAGACTCTTAATTTTAAAAGGAGGTAGAAAATCTACCCAGCATCAGAATTACTATCAGGCCTTTCTCCTCAGCTGTCAGAAGCTTCTTCTCTTCTGCCCAGAGCTTCAGCCATAGGTGAAGTAGTTTTTCTGCCCTCTAAAATATGTTATTGAAGGGTAAAAGATTTTACTTTGAAATCCTAGTGTCATGCAAGTGTTCTGTTCTAGGTTACCACCCTGCATTTTGAAGCAGTGGGAGGCTACGACGATTATTTTTTCTTTTTCATCATGGTCATTGTCAGGATCTCTTAATACACTCATCAGACATACTTTCCAGTCCTCTTCGGTTGCACTTCTGACCCTATGCATGCCTTCCTCTCAAGAAATCATTGCCAGCATTAAGGCCTCCTTGGCTACTTACCACAGCTTTTTCACTCAGTTTCATTATTTCCTGTTTACAACTTGTACCATCCAGTATATCCTATTCCTGTATTTGTTTTATTTTGAGACCATCCTGAGTCTTCTACACTTGAGGAATTTAATGTGCACTCAGTTACCTGCTGTTCTTCACACAGTCCTTGTCCTCCCATCCAGTGATAGAAAAAACATGTGGAGTGGCCTTTACCCCTAAAAATGCTTCCTCCATTCCACTTCTGGAGAGGTATGTGGGGTTTGGTTTCGTTGGGTTTTTTGTGTAACTCCTTACCAAATGCCCAGGATAAACAGGATGAATTTTTATGGCCTGCTGACTAACTGCCCCCATCTGAGATTTTGAGTTTCTGTACTCGAAACAAAATCATTGCCGTTGTGAATGGTAACGTTTGCGCTGCATCTTTTTGTTTCTGTTACCTTCTCTCTCCCCCACCCCAAACAGTTTATCTTATCTACCTGAATTCATGGACTAGTTATTTCTGTTGTCATCCAGCACACCGCGGGGCATCAGGCTGACTAGCACGTCGCTGCTAACTTTAGATAGATGACATTAATAATGAGATGAATTAAAGGTGCAGTTGGAATATTTTCTGGCAATGCCTAAATCAAATAGTAACTCAATGTCTATATGTTGTTTGGGATCTGATTTCAGGGAGTAGCTGACATGGTTATTTTTTAGAAGAGTGCTGCTTGGAGCAATGTTTTCTGTTATTACTGTGAATACTTAAGGGTTCATACAGTTGAGATTAACACCTTGTTCTTCAGGCAGTTTAAGTTTAAAAGCAGTCGTCACCATGAAGAGGTTATAGTTTTAATGATTAGTATTAGGAGAGGATGTAAAGGAACAGAGAAGCAAAATGACTTGCATAAACTCAAGCTACAGTCAAGCTGAGGAACATAACCAGTGTTTGCTGGCTTCCAAGGCAGTGCTTACTACATTACACTACAGTTTCTCATGCTAGCTTTTTAAGCCAAAATTGTTTTAACATTTTTTTGTTTGTCTGATAAGCTCAAGGATGTACATATTATGAACTGTGTACAGTAAAACACTGATTCACTATCCAGTTTCACAGAGGTTTCATGCAGCTTTGCCTTTAATTTTCAAATACAACATCTTTTCAGTAGTAATATTTTAGATCCAGCTTTTCTGTGTGCTGTTGCCCTTTGCCATATACAGTTACCTCTTGGAACTTATTTTTAGTGACTTCATACGTTGCTGCAGCAACTGAACAACTGTTGTTTTAACAGCAGCCAAAAATCCTTAGTCAAACTACCCACATTCCTAGTTTCCTTCGTCATGGTTAACACTTTCATTGCCAGCTCCTTGATAGGTTTCTGCAATGTCACCACCAGCTTCTCTAGCACGTGTCTGTCAGAGCAATTTGTTGGCACTAACTAGCTTCGTCAGATCAGGTGGTTGGTCTTGGGAACATTCTCTGTATGTGTTGAAGTCATCTAATTCCTATAAAGCCTGTCTTAACATGGAGGAAGATAAATTGCTTTTACTTTGTTTTTTTTTTTGACTAACAAAATAGAAGTAAAGGTGTCCATCTGAGCCTGTTTTACGGGGGAGAAAGTGACCTGTAAATATGTTAGGTAATTCTAACCTGGCTTTTATTCTGAATCTAGGCAAATCCATAATTGCAAAGAAAACCTTACTAATGATATTTTGCTGATGTAGCATTGTCCTACTGAAACTACAGGCAGTCAGAACCAAAAGAAGCATAAAATATGCAGAGTGATCAGTGAAGTGGAGGGTGAAACCTACAGGTGACATTTAAAATACCTGCTTTGTTAATTTTGATGGAAATGCCCAGCAAATGTGTTTATGCCCCAGTCCTAAATCGCTTTCAACTCCCACCCTAGGCAATCAGAAGCCTTGGCTATCATAATCCTCCAGCCTTACTCTTGACAGCTTTCATGTTGCAGCTGTATGTTATCAGTGCAAAACATCTGGTATTTCCAAAGCTGGAAATGATGAAATGGGTATCTCACTAGTAGAAGTGAATATAAAAACACCAAAGTTACCATAATGATTATAGCATTCCGTTGCATATTGAAAGAACCTGCCACAGAATTTCTAGGCTGTTGCACCAGAATGCTGCAGTTGAGTACTATTTTGTGGAGAACATAGCTTGTGGCCTTGCAAAAGCAGAAAAGGGACAAAATGCCTTTTATTTTTTTGAAAAACGGCTGGACCCATTTTATGTCAACACTACAAGCATATAGACAGCAGGAGAGAAGGAAAGCGCATGAAGATTTCCAGAGAATTTATCAGGAATTCTGACACTCAGTCTCCCTGGATAACCATATCTAAAATGTCTAGGACTGAATAAGATCTACTTTTTGTATTTGGTATATATAAGAAGCCAACAATTTTGGGTTTTTTAGAGCAGTTGAGTAATTCTAGAGAATGCATTTAGTCTTTTTCTCTCCCGTGAGAGGACAATAGTATGCTGTGTACCTATTTGAATATTCTTAATGCAGCCCTATTACTCCTGAAAATGTTTTGCCCCTCAGTTCTGCTAATCTCTGTGGGAAATGTACCCCTGGAGTATTTTCCACCACTGTAAAAGGAGAAAATGTAGGGTAGTAACCTTATGCAGGAACAGAACAAGCCTGTGGCTGCTGTCAGATGCGTCTTGAAGGACTGTGCATGCTGTATAGGAAAAGAAGTTTGGCATAAAGGAAGGATAGCCAGCGTTCTCAAGCAGTGTCTCCAAGAACAGCTAATGTGTGTCACCAGCGTAGAAGGGCGACTCAAAGAATCTCCATTCTGTGCGTCAAGCACACCAAGAATACGTAGTAGACAAAATTAGGAAGCAGATTATCAACACTTGTTGCCTGCTTCTGCTATTGGCTTCTAGTGATATAAATTCCATAATGTAAAGCAAATTGGTGTCCTGACCATTTCTGATTAATTGCTGCTGAGTTAAAATGGTGCCTTAGTTGGTCAACAAGAGGAAGCCTTGACCATGATAGCGCTGTGGAAGTGCTGGCTTTCTGGAACTACGGAAGCTATTAGAGAGTCACTGCAAAAAAGAACGAATGGAAGGCTGAGGAAACACAGATGTCATTAAAAGCAACCAAGCAGTTTCTGTTACAAAGAATTTTCCTAGTCCTTTGTTGTGAAATATGTTGTGTTGATTTCCGACTGAATAGGAACTAAGAATAGTTACTTTAATACTGTAAGTTGTTTCCTCCAGCAGTAGCCAGTGTTTGACAGCAGAAGTAATACTTCCCTTCAGTTTTCATATGAAGAGGATAGAACTTACAAATCCTGGCTGCAATACTTCCCTCATATATCACGCTGCAACACTACCTTTAGTATATATTACCAGCAGGAAAGCTGCTGACTATTTTGCTTGCAAATGTTTTTTTTTTTTTTTTCATTTTTGCCTTTTCTTTATAAAAACATCTCCATATGTTTCTCTGAGAAAGCTTTACTGAATACCTGTTAAGTTTTGTGTGGCTTTGTTTTCTCCTAACTCTGTTATCTGGAAAAATTTGTTAGCTTGTATAATTCCATAGTGGAAATCAATGGATCTTGTCCATGTCAGGCAGCAGTATATTGGCCAATGTAGAAGATTTGATCTAAAACTGTACAGCCTCTGCTGCTGTCACCTACTGTAAGATTATTGAATTGTTCTCACAAACTGGACTCTACAAAGTAAGAGTCTGGAAGACAGTAGGGATTTTTCATTCCCAGTAATAAAAATATGGTGTGTGGAAAAACTCAGGATCTGACCCAACTGCAGGATAATTGTTTCGATTTCTAAGACTTAAAAATGTTAAATGTTATGATTATTCTTGCCGATATTTTAAAGGAATGCCTTTATGCCTTTTTATGTGTTTTGTAGAGCTCTGTTAGAAGGGGAGAGCAACCAGTGGATTATTACATGGAGAGATCAGTATGCAGGGAAATTGCCTCAAGGTAAAAAAATGAATATTAAAAAATGAATGTTGAATGAAATTAAATAAAACTGGAAACTGTTGTGTTACAGTATTCCTGAAGAATACTTTTTACGAGGGTATTGCAAAGTGAATATTGAATTGCTTTTAAGTCTTAATATTTTAAATTGACATAGTGCTATTTTATGTGAGATAATTTATAAAATCATGACTCAAGTGGAGAAGGTAAGTAGGGAGTGATGTTTCATAGCTTTAACAGTGCAAGAACTTTTGGATGCCTGTGAGTCTTAAGAGAGTTTTGAAGTATAAAGCAAGAGGTATTTAACAAAACATGTTGTTGAAACGATGGAATTCATCATCATGAGGCATTGTGAGTGTTAAAAAGTTTACATGGGTTTAACAAGAAATTTTAGCAGAGTAATGAAAGAAAAATCAAAGGCTTACTAAACATAAAGGTACCATTTCTATCTTAGGAGCTGCAAATCTCTGGAGGCTGTGAGAGTATACCAGGGAAGTATCACTATTTACTTGCCCTGTTCTTAGACTCTTCCCTACGTATCTACTGTTGGTCACTGTAAACAGGATACTAGATAAGATGGACCTTCGATCTGACTGCTGTGGCCATTGTCATTAATAACAGAATTAATCTCAATAATACTCCTGAGTTGAACAGTGTGTGGTCTTAAAATCATGAGACTATCATAGGCAGTAGTCCCAGAAGAGATTTGAAGACTGTGTCTGCAGTAGTAAATTAAATAGACTAGGGCCTGGGGTGAAACGCTCACAAAGAATTGCCTATGCTGTTGAATTGTTAGCACTGTCCCTGGCACAGTTTTGATATGGACTAGCGAGTACTTCTGCAGACGATGCTCAGGCATAGTCAGTGGTTACCACAGACCAGGAAGCACTACCAAAAGCCCGAGGAGACATGGCTAGCTTTTTAGGAGTAGGAGGTTTGAGTTGTGCAGTGCTGGTTGGAGCCAGACAGACAATGATTCCTGGTACATTTTTATTAAATTGTACAGATACAGCCTCAAAGGTTCTTTATTTGCCTTCCTTGTTGCACCTTGTTGTGTCTTGTGGCTATGAAGGATTGTATTTGTGTTTTCAGTTTCCAGGATGTGGTGGCAGGTGTGCCATTTTCAATAGCAACTGAGAAACTTCAGGCCTCTTTGACTAATGAAGCAAAAAACCAAGCCTAGGATATTGGCATACATTAGTTAAAAAGAAGTTGTGAATGTAAATGAACATTAATATAAATATGCAAGGTGTAATTCTTAAGTAATTGCCATAATACCCGGTAGCTCACAACAGGTAAAATTAGCAAGAACTTGCAACTTAGTAAAAAGCTTTGCTTTCAGTTTTAATATAATTTATGCATGAATCTAATTATCATGCAAAACC